CAGTCCTGGAGCCTCTCTATGCTCCGATATTTCTTATACCCGTCTCCTCTCTGCATCCCCATTGGCACTGCCTCAGTTCTGGCACATTTCTTTTTAATTTCTTGCTGCAGAGGATGGTGAACAGACACTGGATTAAAATTAGTTGAATTCTACATCAGCTAGACCCTCTGCTGCCTCGTGTATGAGTCTAAACAGTCCAGTACAATCCATGTACTGATATGGGACCATTATGCTCTTAGGGCAAAGGAGGAGTTTCTCTAAGACAATGGACTTTTTGGGGAGAGGGAAGGGAGGGAAGTGGGGAGGATGGGTGGAGGGAGAGTAATTGGTGGGACCACACCTATGGTGCATCTTACAAGGGTAAATATGAAATTTACTAGGTGTAGAATATAAATGTCTTAACACAATAACTAAGAAAATTCCGTGAAGGCTATGTTAACTAGTTTGATGAAAATATTTCAAATTGTATATAAAACCAGCACATTGTACCCCAGGATTGCATTATTGTACACAGTTATGATTTAATTAAAGAGAGAGAGAGAGAAAATGGACTTTTCTATTTCAACCATCTGGGGAAATGAAGGGGAAATGAGGATTAGGTAGACAAGCTTTCAGCTGGAGTGAGGCTAACGTAAGCATCATAGTAGACAAAGTTGCCTTCTCTCTCTGGGGCCTTGTGTGTGCTGGAACTTGATGCTGGGGAGGGCAGACGAGGTCGAAGACTGTCTCACTGCAAGGAAGGAAGTTGAGCCTTTGAGGCAAGAGTGGGCTGGGAGATGGCCATGAAGCAACCTGCAGGGATACCTCCCTCCCCACCCCGCCAAGAGAGCTAGGTCCGGGTTTGAGTCTGTGGCTCTAAGTATAGCCACATGTCTGAAGAACCTCACGATTCTCTACTTGGAACTGTGCTTCCATTATTCCTGAACTTAGGTCACAGACCTTTCTCTCCACCTCCATTGTGGAGAGTTGTGGGAAGGGTCTGTTCTCCAAACCAACCCAAGGCGACACCAGAAAGTGCAGCAGCTGGAGGTCAGCTGGCCCTGAGGGGGTATGGACAGACTGGAAACAGTGGTCCCTGGAAAGAATGAAGCAGCAATCTGGGATGAGAGGGACAGTTTAGAAGAGAAGGGATAACCAGAATGGATTTGTAGAATGTCTGCGTTTCACTGAGGAAATATGTGATATGGGAGCTCAACAAATCCAACTTTCTGCATTCACATGAGATGGAGGCTCAACCCATTAAGACTAAGTGAGTCTTTACAGACTGTGTGTCACATGTGTGTCCAGTCAATTTTGTGCAGGATGCAGAGTTTCTGGGGCATCCTTGCATACTGAAAGTTCTAGCAAAAGAAACAAAAGCCATGGGAAGACAGGGGATTCTGAATCTGAAAGAACATCTAATTCCCAGGGCTTATGTCTCACTGTCTTCCAGAAGACGACAGCCCCCCTGTCAGGCAGGAGTGGGTGATGGAGTCACCTGTGCCCAGGGATCACTGGCTACGAGCTTAAATGCCACAGCTCTTGGAGCAGTGGGGCTACATGGCTGCTGTTAAGAGATAAGGAAGTGGAGAGTGGGCATGAAAAGAAGAAGCCCCCTCAATATAGCATTAAGTACTAAACCCTAAGATCATGCAGCTGGGATGTGTTTGATAGACCCACACAAGGATTAATAAGCAGGGACCTCCAAACCTGCAATGGGAAAACTTTCTTCAGATGTTTCAATCAGTAAACTGCCCTCTTCCTGCCAAAGTCGAATGATTTATCGCTCTCTTTCCACCTCCAGAGAAGGCAAGAGAAGTCACTTACAGAGTAGAAATTTAAGATGCATCTGCTGCTTCGTTCTAGCACTATTTACAGTAGCTATGAAGAACATAAATGATTAAAGCCAGAGAAACAAAATGTTCTTAAAACATGACTAATAGGCAACTGAAGACTTAGATATACCAATAATTGGTATGAAAGTTTTGTAGTGGGAAAGGCTCTAGGCCCCACAGGCTGGTATGGGAAGGGAACCCAAGAAGAGCAGTGCCCTCAAGCAGGGACTGAGATAGGCCTAGAACATCGTCCTTTGCCTATTCTGGCCAACGTCTTGCACCAGCTTCCTCCTCTATGGGAAGAAGAAAGTTAGCACCAGACACATACTATATGCCATTTCCAGTTGCACATGACATCACGTCTAGCTAAGACAGTAGAAACAACCCGTCCAGTTGGTGAGGGTTCTGCTCTACAAACTACAGTGTGTTGGCAGAAGAGGAGGGGGATGTATCAGAATGAATATGTCCAGGGGATTCGACTCAGGATTAGAACAAATTGCTCTTGATGGTCCACTGGTGATCCAACAGTACAGTGTCACCATTTCCTCTGACGTGCACAGAGGGACACGCATAAGGTGCCTGCAATAGAGACATTACACACACATACACACCCACTACATGCACTCCAGCAGCTATGTTTTGGCACCTCATAAATTTGAGGTGCTTTTGCTGACAATCTGTAGCATCTGTACATAATCCTAACTAGACTTGGATGCTGTTATCAGTGTGTCTCAGAAAAATTGAGTGCATTTCTTAAGGCATCATTGTTCTAGAATAATTTATTTGTTTTTAGTTGGTTAATTCAGAGGGAGTCTTGGCAACTCGGGGTCTCTGACATCAAAGAATGAGAAAATAAAGAGATATCCCAAAGTCCCTCACCTGGCACGTGCTTGAGTTTTACCTTCAGCCCAAAATGTGACCTGTGCAGTGATTATATTCTGGGAAGCCTGTGCACCCTCCCTAGGAATTCTTTCTTTGCTAATAGATGTGCTGTGATGGAGTGGTCCACCCAGGGTTGGTTATAACTACAGAGGGCAAGAATCATCATCCAGGGTGACAGGTGACACCACAGAAACGCTTTCCTATGATTTTGGCATCCTCCTGAGCCTAAGGACATCCATCCTAGCAAAAAAGGTGATGGAGGACACAGTCCGAGGGTGACTTTCTCTGCAGGCTCTCTGTTTAATAACGATGAAGTTTCTTTTTTTCTGTTTTTGTTGAGACAGAATCTCCCTCCGTTGCCCCAGCTGCAGTGGCATCATCACCACTCACTGCAACCTCAAACTCTTGGGCTCACGCCATCCTCTTGCTTCAGCCTCCCAAGTAGCTGGGTCTACAGGTGTGCACCACCATGCCCAGCTAATTTTTATATTTTTAGTAGAGATGGTGTCTCACTCTTGTGCAGGCTGGTCTCAAACCCCCAAGTTCAAGCGATCCCCCTGCCTCAGCCTCCCAGAGTGCTAGGATTACAGGTGTGAGCCACCGCTCCTGGCCCATGATTAGGTTTCTTACCACCTCTATGAACTGCATAGGTCAATGGGTACAAATAGCAGAAGTAATAAAGGAGTAAATGAGAGAAGTTCAGGGTGAAAATGAAAGAGAGAGTGGTAAGAATTTATAGCATGGCTTCATTTTTGCTTGTAAAGAAGTCACAGACCGTATAGGTCCCCACTCCCTGCACAGCTTTCTCAGAAACATGACATGCTGGCTCCTTTCTTTCCTAATTATCAGAGAGAAGGCTACAGAAGTTCCTGATTTGAGAAAGGAAGTAAGAGCATAAAAGGGCAATGTGCATTCATCAGGTTTGGGGGTGTCTATAGGTTAATATCCCACACCCAGCCCCGCCTGACACTCATGACATTACTGTTGATTCTGTGTGGTCGCTCAGGTCTACCCAAGCACCAGGCAGACCTGCTATCCCCTCCTTGCTGCACCCTCCAACTCCACAAGGCCACCTCCTCAGTCCATGCCCCACCTCCAAAGCACAGAACAAGTGCCCCGATTTGGCCACACCCTAGAGAACTCCTACAACTACCGTAGTTCCTCCCCCAGAGGTGCTGCAGGCTTGGCCCTGACTTCTCCCTGCCTACATGCACTCAGAACATGAAGTTTAACGTAGCACCTTCCCAGAGATCACCCAGGGAGCCCCAATCCAGGTCCCCTGCCCTTCTGTTGCTGGGAAAAGAAAAAAATTATAATACCTTTTTGTCTTTTGTTGCCTAAGTCAAAACTATCTTTAGTGTAAATATCTTTGGCCAATCCAGAAAGGCACATCACATTATCTTTGTGCTTTTAAACTTCTCCCACCTCCCCTATTTTTACACATGATCTTGGGAAAACACTCTGAGGCCATCTCATTCTGGTTCCTAATCATCTTCCCATCTAGAGGCTGATGTCATAAGAACCAGGTGGGCAGATGGTAGCTGGTCCTTCCAACAAGTTCCTACACTGTAACGCAGGTCTTAGCTGAGGACCAAGTGCTAGTGGAGGCACTATGGGTTTGCAGCTGAGATCAGGGAGCAAGATCAAGGGTAAGATGCACACAATCCAAGTTTGTACCCCATAGTCTTGGCAGGGAGAGGAGAGGACAAAGGCTCACTCCTGCCAGGATGGGGACAGGAAGCCAGCACCCTGCTCACGCCTGCATGTGCTCTCAGTCAACAGTCCCACACAGGGAGGGACGATCTGCCCAGCTCCCATCCCCTGGAAGGCTAGAGAAACTAGTTTTCTGATCTAAAAAACTAGAAAAAAAGAAAGAAAAAGAAAAAACAGGGGCCTTAGAAAGATTTTCTAAATACCAAATGGTGACCTCGGCCATGGGTTATCACCTGGGGACCTACCACCAGGAGAAAAGGGCTCATTCGTGCAAGGGACCTAATCCTGATAGCATTCTTCTTCGCTCATCACCTTTCAAGAGATGCCCAAACAGAGCCTTTGGGACCTTAATGGGATGGAGAAGAGCCAGGCTAATTTTGTCAGATGAGAATTAGTCAAGAAACAGGTGTTGGAGAGGCAGGAAGGACTTGGAATGTGGGCCACCTCAGTGCCCCGCAATTAGTGTCACTTCTTCTTCTGATGCTTTTACAAATCAGCACATCATGTCCCCTGGTGAGCCCGTGCTAATGAAACCCCCTAAGCTGATCAGGATAAAAACATTCCTCTACAGTCAGGGCAAAGAGCACTTACCTCCATCCGTATTGGAGAAACCCTGTGGAAAGAAAAGCAGGGCAGAGTGTTAGTGCACGTGTGGGGGTGGAATCCCTCATTCACTCAACCCATCTTCCCCCGGGTCTAGGCCCAGAATCTGACTCTGCTGGGAAACCCAATACTCTCTTTTCTTCTGGCCCATTTGCTTGGGATCCCAAAATTTGAAGGAAGGGTTTACCATACTGCCAATAGAGACTTATTTTAATTATCTAGCAAATATCCTTTGGTTGTGTTGGAGAAGTGATATCAGAAAGCCTCAGCTTAAAATTGATTTCATTAGATTGCTTTTCTGTTGCTGAGGAAACAGGAGGGAAGGTTATGAGAGCCATCTGGCTCTGTGGACTCTCCACTCTTTGCCACATGACACCATCTGCTTCTAGACACAGTAAAATTTCATGTATGTACACTCTTTGTACTTGGAATTCACAACCATTTCAAACGGTATTGCCTCTGGCCTTATTATGAAGGAAAGACTCAGAAAGCAAAGTATAATTAAAGCCACAGAGAGTATGCTTAATCTACTTAATAGAAATTGTTTTTAGAATTCTAGAGGCTAATAGGAGAAGACTTTGCAGGCACTAGGCATTTAAGGGCTTGGGCAGCGGGCAGATGGGGGCAATCTAATGACTTTTCTTTAGGCCTCCCAGGAGGCCAGGAGCTGCCACACCTAAAGACCAGCCATGCTCAGCTTCAGGACAGCACCTGGTCCTCACACACCTGTCCCTTATTTCACAGAGCTCGTGGCTCAGATGTCTCTCATCAATACAGCTGGCCTGTTCTCCAGCTGGTACCATTTTGCTAGGGCTGCCTTCCCCATGGACACAATTTAGAGAAATCACATTTGTTTTCTTCACCTTCTGAAAGTCCTTGAAGGATTTTTCTGTCTCCTTTAGTTTCTCTAGGATGATTTGCTCTTTGGCAGATATCTGGGACTCTTCGCTTTCTAGCATTTGAATTTCCTGCTCCAGCCTGGAAGACATACAAACAGAGGACAAGTTACTTTATTGTCCTGCCATCCATGGGCAGGAGAGCAGCTCCTTCCTGCTGGGCCATTTGTACCTTCCTGCCAGCCTCCGTTTTACATTGTGCTAGGAGCCAGGCCAAGGTTTTACACCACAGAGCACCCTGTGTTTCCAGCCCTGGGCAGTCACTGGTCAAGGGAACACACCCCGGAGCCACCTCCACTAGTTCACAGCCACCACTCTGCCATATGCTGTGAGGTGTCCCCTCCAACCCTATTCACGTGTGCATTTCTCATTTGGAGGTAGATTATTTTTACATAGCATGTGACATAATATCTGAGAATATCTTCCTGTTCTCCCTGCTGTCTCAGAATAACTGCTTTGCACTCAGGTTGGCCAAAAGGTAAAGGGATCATTCTCCTCAAAGGAAATACGTAGTCAAGAAATTGCTGGTGGCCAGGACCCTTGGGAGCCTGCTGTCCTCTCCCTCAGTGGCCCAGCTTCTGCTGCCACGAAGAGGGGAAACAAAGGACACAGGTGCAACTGCCCTGTATCCTTCTGGAATGTTCCAGTTTTTGACAGCCATCCTATATGTTTTCTGAAAGGGAAACTTCAACCCTACCAGGACACGCTGGAAACAGTCCAGAATAGCAGCTATAGCGATGATTTGGGGGCAGTCCCTGCAGATGCATTCTCTCAGTGAAATGATATTGAGCAGTTAGTCTGTGCCAGGAACTCCCTGAGTACAGGAATACCCATTTCACAGATGTGATCACTAAGGTTGGCAAGATTGAGTAACTAGTTTACTGTTGCAGAGCCGTGAAGCAAGGATTCATGCCAGAAGTCTAACTCCAGAGCCTGTGCCTGATTATTGGGCTAAAAGCTTAGCAGATGGATTCTACAGTATTTCCCACGCTCCCCACCTCCTTAAACATTGCAGAGTGGCATACCAGGGTGGCACTGTTATGCAGTGATGTCTTGGAGAAATAGATGGGTCCCTGTGGAGACTCCAAACTGCTGAGCCTCTTGGATTATTTGGTCTGAATTTGTTCACTCATTCAATCACTTATTCATTCAATTTTGCTTCGGGTCTCTTTCCCCGCAGTCATGCTGTTGAGTCTGTTCTTGCTATACGCTAATCCCCTTCCTTGCCCTTCTCATTTTCCATCTTTTACTCTGCTCACGGGAACTAGTTAACCAAGTCCATTAGAGTCTTACATGCAAAATCAAGAATTCAGAGTGAGATCTTCTGAAAAGCAAGGAACACTAGGACACAGGCCCCTAGGAGGCCTTTTCTGCGCCCTTCCCGGGTGTCAGAAAAATGACCTCTGCAGGGGTGAGACTTTGCTGCAATTACTTGGGGCTATGAGGACAAACCCCGTATCCAAACATACTCCCTCCAAATGAACACAGCTTCATATATATTTGCCATTTCACTCAAGGTAAAAGTGGAAGTCCTGACAAGTTCTAAGGCCCTGTAGTCTCTGACTTTCCCTCTTACCAACATGCCTATTTCACTTTATGCTTCGGACCAGAAAGAGCTGCTCTTATTTGCCAACATAAACCCTGTGAAACGTATCTCAAGCCTTCAGGAAACATATCTCAAATCTTTAACCATTTTTGAGGTCTCAGGTCAGATGCCACCGGCCATGAGGCTTTCATAGACTTCACCACCAGAAAACAACATCGTCCTTTTCTGAATATTTCTTAGCACATGATTTTGCTCTATCAGAGGTCATACCAAGTCCACTATATGTTACAGCAGTGGTTCTCAACAGAGGTGAGTTTGCTTCACACCTTCTTAGAGGATATACGACAAAGTCTAGAGACATTTTGGTGGCCCGTAACTCAAGGCGGGGTGACACTAGTGTTACCGACATCTAGTGGGGAGAGGCCAGGGATGCTGCTGAACATCCCATAATGCGCAAGACAGCCCCACAGTGAGAAATTATCTGGCCCCAAATATAAACATAAATTAATTTCCTCCATTAGATCACAAATTCCTCAAAGGGAGGGGCACATGTTCTAGGTTGAATAAATAAAAAATGCTGAACCAAGTTGCATGAAAGTTTGACTCAGCTGTGATAAGACCTTCAGAACTTTGGGGGCCAGGGTAAATTCTTCAGCGAGCTTTGACTTGCTGTGAGAGGCTGTGTGTGAGCTGAGATACAAACAGAATCTACAGAAGAGGGGGCCAAGCAATGTAGAGATATAAAACTTCTTGGCTATTCCAAATGTTCATCAAAATCTTTTAAATATACCTGTATAAATCATTTTGGGGTGACTCAAGTAGAAAGATATGAGCATGAGATAGGACTAACACACATGAGGGGGTCAAATGGTCAATAAATTGAACTAATCCAGTGTGGGGAAGAGCTCTGGACAAGGGCTTGCCTGTGTAGACTGGATGATACTATCAGCCAGGTGGGTTCTGAGCAGACTTCATTGACATTTCAAAGGACAGTGTATTATACTATAGCAGATATTCAGCAGATATTTTATTATTCTTAAAAACTTTCCCTCTCTTCTTCCTTTAGCACCGTAAAAAGGTTAGAGACTTCCCTGACCCCGTTATGTGGATCTTGACCACATGATCTGCTTTGATGTCGTGGTGGGGGGGATACACTTCCCTGTCCCTTGATGGTGGCCTCAGCCACATGACCTGCTTTGGTCAATGAGTTGTCAGCAGATAATAACAAGCAGAATGGGCCCAGTTGAGCTTATCCTTTTGTTTTTTTTGCCAGCAGCAAGAGACGAACTTCTCTGGGCAACTGCAGTGCATTCAGCCTGGGCCTCAGAAACTACACACGTGCATGTCCTGTTGGAGCTGTACCTATAATCACAACCGCTCAGCTGAGCCCATCCTCTATCAGCAAATACCCAGACTACCCACAGACCTGTGAGCACGAACAAGTGACTCTTGATTTAAGCCACTGAGTTTGAGAGAGTGTCCTATACACCACTAGTGCAGTAAAAATTAAATAATACAAGTCAAATATCTGTGTGTGTGCACCTTCTAGTATATGTACCTCTCTCCTAATGATATATGTATATCCCAATAATGTATATTCTACTTATATTTGTATATCCCAATAATAACTGAAGCTAAAAGATTAGAAAGAACATAACCTATGCTCTTCTCCATTCCTCTAATCCTCAGAGAAATCTGGAGGAAAACAGGGCATGCCTTCATATCAGTGGTAGTTTCTCTGGGTAATGGATCTATAGATCAATTTAATTTCATTTTTATAAATTTTAATGTTTTCCCGATTAAAAATTGTATTACTTATCTAACCAGAATAAAAATAATAAATTGTCTTTTCTAAATACCTCCTGAGGCCTAGCTCTGAGAAAGTAGCTGTCTCATAGGCCATCACATGAGACAGGGGCCAAGGTCCCAGCTTCTCACGTGTCTGGTGAAGGGTTAAAATGGACACACTGGAACAGCCGTTCAAATTCAAACCAATATTTATTGAGCTTATTTGGCTGGACTTAGAGCTAGGCACCACAGAAGATTCTGAAATAAACAATATCCAGTTATAAATGGTTGACTAAGAAAAAAATGCTCTAAGTTACTGACTTCTGGTGAGGCAGCCCGAAGTGTTTAAGAAGTCTCTGTGACCTGATGCCCACCTCTGGCTTGGCTGTCTCCATAGCCTGTCCAGGTCCTATGGGTTTCAGGGTTCTCAGCTATATAGTTCAGGTGCTAAAGATTTGGGTCATGATACTGTGTCACTGAGAAGGAACAGAGAGGGAGAAAAAAAAGCAACGAAACTAAACCTTTGTGATAACAACTAAGTTTCACCTCAAAGGGAATGAATGAAGGAAATGGACAGTTTATGTAAGTTTAAGCAAGTCAGATGCAAGAACCAGATTTTTCTACAAATGCACACGTGGCCTTGGGCCAGATTCTGAGGGTACTGGGCAGCCCAGCCGCTATCTTTCTCAGGTAAACCTGAGTCCTGGAGCTTAAGAGCTTCCCAAGAAACAGGAGTACCATGGGGTTAACAACAGTCACCCCAGCCAGGCTAGAAATACCACTGTTTTGTAGTTTCACGACTGAAATCTAATGCGGTCTTCTCTGGAGGAGCCAAATAGATATTGCTGTGCTAAAAATAAAGAATGGGCAGGAAGTGTAATTTATACACAAGGTTAATCGAGGCTTCCCAGGCTGTGACAGGTGCACACAACAGCCTCTGACCCAGCTTGCTCAGTTCCTCCAGAGCAAAAAGCAAACTGTCATAAGCTATAAGGAAAGGTGACACACTGCAGCTGTGTGGGTTTAATTGACTGGTGATGAAGTTGAAACCACGGCCAAATGGTCTTATAAAACTCCTTAACCCCAGCAGGCCATCCTCGCTGTTAAATATGAAGGACCTCTGGCTCTGTGGAGTGCATCAATCATTCTCTTACTTCAAAATTCATTTATGAATTCATCCATCTAGCTTTGTGCAAACTTATTCTCTGTACCAGCCACTGTCCTGAGCACTGAGGATGGAGAAATAAGTCAGACAGTGTCTGCTCTGAAGAGTTCTTGGTCAAGTAATGAGAACAGCCATGTGAACCTATAAATTACAATAAAATCCGAAAAAGCGATCATAAAGGAAAGAATGGTAAATGTTGTAAAGTAGTTGGTGCTTTTAGGTGTGTGTGGCAGGGGCTCTAAATTGTCTGCCCAACATCTACGCTCCCACTCTTCCATACTAACAAAATCCTTAATTTGTTAGGGATGGCAATGTGCCCAGCTGGAAAAGTATATAACTCAGCTTCTTCTGAAGATAAAGTTGGCCACAGGACAGCTCTGACCAATGAGTTGTAAGTAAAAATGATTGGGAAGGATTTCCAGAAGGTTCCGTTAAAGGGAAGGAAGGGTAGACTTAAGTGGCATCTGCTCCATGCCCTTTCTCCTCTTCCTGCCTGGTATCAGGGTGCTTGAGAGAGGTACTAGTTTCCAATTGCTGCTATAACAACTACCACAAACTTAGTGGCTTCCAACAATCTACATTT